AATTTTCTGTGGCCGTTCGGCGTTCGCTACGCCACTCACCAGCTTAACCTATGGCCGCACCTGAAGCTGCCGCAGGTTTCGCCGACCCTCCTCTGGACCGGGTTTCCTGGTGACGCGTCTGCGTTCCATGTTCGGGGCTGCCTTTCTCACGTTCATGCCTCTGGCACGGACAAGCTCACTGCCCGTGCCCTCCCCTGCGTCTTCCTAGGTTTCCCCCTCGACTCGTCTAACTGGCGCTTCTACCACCCGCCGTCTCACCGTTTCTTTCACTCCCGCGACGTCACCTTTGACGAGTACGTCTCCTTCTACCACCGCTTCCCCCACCGTGGTCCCCCAGTGATTCCACCCCTGTTCCTGGTTTCCCCTTCCCCGGTCGCCCCTCACCCTCCCCCTCCCCCTCACCGTCCTGCCCCGTCTAGTGTGTCTCACGTTACCCCCCTCACGTCGGTAGTCCCGGTCGAGGAGTCTGCTGACTATGGTGGCCCTTCGGCGCAGTCCTCGCCACCTGCCCCTCCCCAGGTGTCTCCTCCTCCGCCACCTCCGCAGCTGCCATCGCAGCCGCTATCGCAGCCGCCGTCACCGCCGCCGCCGCAGCCGTTGGTGCAGCCGCCGCCACTGCAGCCGTCGCCGCAGCCGTCCCAGCAGCAGTTCGTTGCCTCTAGGGGTGCTGGCGTTGGGGTGGGTACTATTCCTAAGCTTCCTGTCATGGCTTGTCCCGGTGGGCCTAGGGGTGGTACTGGTGCTGGAGGGTTTTTTGGCTCTAAGGGTGTTTCTTCTGGGGGTGCTGGAGTGGAGTGTTCCAGAGGTAGCCGTGGAGCAGCTTGCGGTACCACTGTCGGTGTCGTATCGCCGCAGCCGCAGTCCCCCCCGGTGTCCGCCCTTCGCCTGCTCGGTCTTCCGTCCCCTAACCACGTGTCTGTGCCGCTCCTGCCATCTCCTCCTCTTCTTATCTATGGCCCGGTGTTCCCTCCCCCGGACTCGTCTCCAGCTCGTCTTCCCCCTCGTTCCCTTCTTGTGTCCCCTCCTCCGTCTCCTGACCCGACGCCTCCGTCTCACGTCTGGTCTTGCCGTCCATCCTGTGCTCGCCCCGTCTCCCCTGTTCCGCGCTCTCACCCGATGTTGCTTCGTTCCCACGCATCTCGTCCTCCCCTCCTGCCGTCGCCTCCTCCGTCCTCCCTTGTTGTTGCGCCTCTCCCGCTGTTTGACTACCTTCGTGCCGCTCGTCCTCTTGTTTTCGGATCCTTGCCTCTCTCGTTACCAACTCATCTATTCCTGTTTCACGCCTTGACGTTCTTGTCGTTGCGGTCGCTGACTTCGCCTCTACCCGCCGCCTTGACTATGCCACCGCTCTAGTCTCTGACCCTGCCTATCCTCCGTCTGTCGGGAGTGCTCCTGCCCTCGGTAGTGATGTCCTGGAGGACCGCCAGTACGAGCTTGCTTTCCTGTCCGAGGCTGCTCCCCATCTCTGTTTCATGCTGCTAGTCCCTGAGGGAGACCCCGACGCTTTCGACATCCCGACCCCTTGCATCTACGCAGAGGCAACCTCGGGACCTTGGGCCTCTCAGTGGATAGCTGCCATGGAGCAGGAGATGCCATCTTGGAGATCCACCAGCACCTACGTCGACGCAGTTCCCCCACCTGGGGTGAACGTAGTCGATGGTTGCTGGCTCTTCAAGGTGAAGCGCCCTCCTGGAGAGTGTGAGAGTACGACCCCGTTACACCACTTTTCCTTTTCCATATTTCATCTTCATTTCATTCCTCTTTTTATCTCATCTCCTTTTGCCTCATATTCCCCATTTCCATTATCCTTTGGTTTCTTCCCTTATTATAATTATATCACCGACCAAGCATGGAATGTTCTAGACACGCTATCTAGCGTAATCCTGTCGTAATCTCTTAAAGCCAATAGCCTCGCGTGGCTATACGCAGGGTGATTCTATCTTCTAGAAGGGTCTATTCCTTTAGATAGGATAAACCTGGTTACTTGATGTACTCCGGAAGTATAAAAGCGCCTTGTACTGATCGATAGTGCAACCTTTCCTCGACACATTCGATCCTGTAACACTTGGTAATCAGAGCTTTTCTCACTCGACCGCGCTCAGCTAAGCAGCAGCAGCGGGGATCCTGCCTCGAAAAACCGCCGGGGGCGACCAATTCGACGCCGATTCTGGTAAGCACCAGCTCCGCGATTTTCGAATTACCCCCTCCGTGCATGTTTTGAACAGGATGGCAACCTTCGACAACACCGAGGTTACCCAGCAGCTCTTCGCGCGCATCGCAGCCCTTCAGGAGGAAATGCGAGCGGATCGCGAAGCGTGGCGAAACCAGTTCGAGCGAGTAACTCGACTCGCCGGAGCGCAGCACGAGACGACAACGGCGACGACGCAGCAGTCGCAGCAATTTCTCGAGGCTCCAAAACCGCGCCCACCTGAGCCGTTCGATCCGAGCGATCGAAACTCCGACGCCCGCAGATGGATCGCCGGGATGGAGATCTACTTCGCAGCCGTCGGATGGAGCTCGCCAGTCTGGGACGGTCAACGCGTACGACTCGCGGCGACACTGATGCGAGGGCCGGCACTCGAGTGGATTGGCGGCAACAGTACTTTCATCCACGGTGAAGCCACGTGGCAGCAGTTCCGCGCCGACCTGCTGAAACGCTTCGAACCGATAAATTCAAGTTTCCTTGCCCACGAAAAAATTCATCGCCATCGACAGTTCGGGAGTGTATCACAATACACGCAGCAGATGGAAGAATTTTATAACCGAATTCCCGACCTGACCGAAGGGGAAAAAGTACAATCGTACCTCGCCGGGCTGAAGACCGAAGTCAAACGACAAGTCGCAGCGTCAAACTACGCGAGCTACAGTGACGTCGTTTCGGCAGCGGAGCGCTTCGACATGGTCAACGCCGGAACACGACGGACGCACGTCGGCAGTACGCGACAGGGCGACCGCTCGGCTCACCCCACGTTCGCCGACCCGATGGAAGTCGACAGATTCGAGGGGCGGCCACGTCCGAAAAACACCAACTACACGTGTGATTTTTGCGGGGTGCCGGTCCACCGAATCTTCGACTGCAACAAAATGAAGGCCGCACGCGCAGAGTATCGGGCACGCAACAGTGGCGGAAATCTTCCGGCCAATCAGAAGACAAAAAACGGGAGTCGCCAGTGATTGCGGATCTAGCTGGCGAAAATAAAAAGATCCGGAAACGGCCGCGGGATTCCGAGAAAATCAACTTCGACGAAGCTGATTCGACGCGAGCAGGAGGAAATGATGGGGGAAAATCTCCACCCCACGACCAGTCTTCGCCAGGGAAATTCGCCGAGGAAAAATCAGACTCCGCGAAAAAAGACTCTGCCGAGACGGGGAAACTCCTTGAAGACCCAAGAAATTATAAGAATTCGTTAAAGCTATCCTATAAAGATGCTTTAATGAAAACTTATGATTTTCGAGGGGCTAGAGCCTTGGAGAAAATATGGGAGGGACTCCAAAAGAAGCAGAAAGCTGTGGAGATCATACCGGTACCGGACAACCTGGGGACCAAATTAAGGAGTGTGGAAAGAAGCCGACCTTTCCACGGAGTCAACGTCCTCTCCCGACACCAGCCCACAACGACTACCCGCTCCCCAGGGAAGACGTCGGTGGAGCTGAAGCAGCTCAAGAGGAAGCTGGGGGTCTACAAGAAGCTGCACAAACCCCGAACTCCTCCAACGGATGCATCCAGTTCTTCGGCATCAACGACACGCACAGTCGTCAAGGAAACTCCGGGCCCTGGGGAAGAGCCGTTCTCCAAGCAGCCTCGGCCAGCTGCTAGCTCAGGAGCAGATAGCAACGAAAAGGTGTGTACGGATTATTGGGATGTACCTTATGACCCCATTAATGAAACCATCTTTGGGTACTCCGAGCAACGCCCGCCTCTCATGCTCGAGGTCATCTGCAAAGGACGACGCCTCCAAGCACTCGTGGACAGCGGAGCGTCTCACACCGTCTGCGACAAGGCAACAATCGACCGACTTCGGGAAGAGTACAAGCCTTCAGGATTCTCTGCAACGATGGTGGATGGCAGCAAGTTACCAGTACACGGCGAAGCAGTGCTACACCTACAAATCGGACCACTGCGCTGGAGACCTGCACTCCCCATCACCAACATCAAAGGGCTTGACTTGATCTTCGGGCGAGACTTCCTGAGGAGATTCAACCCCAAAATCAACTGGGTGAACCGCACCGCAAGCATCTACAACAAAGGACGGAGAGTACAGCTACCCAATTGGGACGATACAGGAGATATCCCAGTGGAGACACTCGCACGATTCGAGAAGGACGTGAAGCGAACCGACACCGGGTTCCTGGCGATAGCAACAGAGGTGGAGAATGACGGAGAGAAAGCCTCGGAAACTCCAGAAAAAATCAAGGAATTATTGAAGGAGTTCCAAGACATCCTTCCTGACGACCTACCGAACGAGCTACCGCCATACCGCACACATCAACACGAGATCGTGGAGGAACCAGGTTCGAAGCCGACCTTCCGAGCACCCTATCGGCTCAGTCCTACAGAGCTGAGCGACATGAAAAAGCAAATCGAGTATCTCCTTGCCAAAGGACTCATCCGACCATCTACTTCGCCATACGGTGCCCCAGTACTCTTCACCCCGAAACCGGACGGGAGCCTGCGCATGTGCATCGACTACCGAGCTCTTAACAAGCGGACCATCAAGAATAAATATCTGATACCACGAATCGATGACCTGCTTGACCAGCTTCGGGGAGCTACGGTATTTTCCAAACTGGATCTGCGGTCCGGATACTGGCAGATACGGATGGCGGACAACTCTATCCACAAAACTGCTTTCCGAACTCGGTATGGATCGTACGAGTATTTGGTCATGCCGTTCGGACTCACCAACGCGCCGGCAACGTTCCAAGCCGAAATGAACCACATTTTACGACCACTTCTGGACGAATGCGTGGTGGTGTACCTGGACGACATACTCATCTACTCGCGCGACATGAAGCAGCACGTCGAACACCTGCGACGCGTCTTCGAAATTCTTCGACGGGAACGATTCTACGTCAAACTGTCCAAGAGCGAATTCGCCCTGGAAAAGGTCCAATTTCTAGGACACATGGTGAGCGCTCAAGGAGTTCACGTCGACCCCAAGAAAATCGAAGCCGTACGTACGTGGAAGACACCCGAGAACGTGAAGGAGTTGCAGCAGTTCCTAGGCTTCGCTAATTACTACAACAGGTTCGTGCCACAGTATGCGAAACTCGCGGCACCACTCACGAATCTGCTGAAGAAGAACACGCCCTACAAATGGGAGATGAAGCACCAGGAAGCCGTGGAGCAGCTGAAACAAGCACTAACATCCGCACCGGTGCTCATCTTGCCAGATCCCGAACGTGACTACGTCATTGAAGCAGATGCCAGTGATCAGGCCGTGGGTGCAGTCTTGATGCAAGACCAAGGGAATGGACTGCAACCCATTGCCTACCTCAGCAAGAAACTGCACGGGGCAGAACTCAACTACCCGATACACGACAAAGAGGCTCTTGCTATCATCATCGCCTTCAAAGCGTGGAGATGCTATCTCGAAGGACGAAGAACAACCGTTTACACCGACCACTGCAGCCTGAAATATTTGAAGACACAACCCAACCTTTCCAGGCGGCAGGTCCGGTGGATCGACTTCCTCGAGACACACTTCCACTACGACATCGTGTACAAGCCCGGCCACAAGAACAAAGCAGACGCTCTCAGCCGGCCTGCACACGTTGCCGCGATTCAGGTCGAAGGGATGAATCCACTACTCAAGGGACTCTTCACACACGGGTAAGCCATCGACCCCGAAATTCCCTTGGCAGAAAAGCGACATCTGCTACAGTGGGACAGTGACATCGCATACCGGAAAGGATCCACAAAAATCTGGGTACCCAATTACCCTCCTTTGCGCCAGTTACTACTCGAAGAATACCACGACGTCCTCTACGCCGGACACTTTGGTAGCAACAAGACGCTGACCGGTATTGCAAAGCACTACTACTGGCCCCACTTAGCAGAAGATGTCCAGAAAATTCGTCACCTCGTATGATACATGTCAGCGGATGAAGAGCAGCAAGCAGAAAAAGGCGGGACTACTGCAGCCTCTTCCTGTCCCAGAACAACCATGGCAAGTGGTTAGCCTAGACTTCATCACTGGGTTACCACCTACCTCCAGCGGACATGACGCCATCCTTGTCGTCATTGACAAGTTCTCCAAAATGGGACACTTCATCCCGACACACACGACGGCACGCACCGAGGAGACAGCACAACTCTTTGTTCGCTACATCATCTCACAGCATGGCATTCCAACAACACTCATCTCCGACCGAGACCCCAAGTTCACCAGCAAGTTCTGGAAGGAACTCATGTCTCTGCTCGGCACCAAACTCGCCATGTCATCTGCATACCATCCGCAGACAGACGGACAGACCGAGCGCCTTAACCAGATTGTTGAGCAACTCCTCCGAGCAGCCTGCAAGGACGACATCTCCAAATGGGACTTGCACCTGCCCGTCCTGGAGTTTGCCTACAACAACGCTACACACGCCGCTACGGGACAGACGCCGTTCTTCCTCTGCTACGGACGCCACCCACTCACACCACAGAAACCGACAACACCAGCAAAAGTCCAACCTGCACACGACTTCATCACAACCATGCATCAGCTTTGGGATCGGACCCATAAGCGCCTCCTTGACATTCAACAGCAACAGAAGCGCCAGGCCGATCGCCATCGCAACGACCACACCATTTCCGTGGGAGACCAGGTGCTTCTCGACACCCGCAACCTGGACATCAGCCACCTCCCATCTAAACTTCGACCTCGCTTCTGCGGGCCTTTCCTCGTTGAAGCACAGGTCACTCCTGTTACCTTCCGCTTACGCCTACCAGCTACCTGGAAGATTCACAACGCCTTCCATGTCCAACTTCTGAAGCCCTATTGAGATCCTAATACGATCTTCGTCGGACGCCAACCGCCGCCGCCGCCACCCGTCCTCGTCCAAAATGAACCCGAGTACGAGGTCGAGTCCGTGCTTGCACACCGCCGTCGTCGGAATGGCACCGTGGAGCTTCTTATTCGTTGGAAGGGCTATGATCCTTCTGAGGACAGCTGGGTCTCTGAGACCGACATGGGTAACGCCCGTCGTCCTCTGCATGACTACCTTGTCAAGCAGGGTGTTACTTCTACCACCCAGCTTTGAGGGGGGGAAGTGTGAGAGTACGACCCCGTTACACCACTTTTCCTTTTCCATATTTCATCTTCATTTCATTCCTCTTTTTATCTCATCTCCTTTTGCCTCATATTCCCCATTTTCCATTATCCTTTGGTTTCTTCCCTTATTATAATTATATCACCGACCAAGCATGGAATGTTCTAGACACGCTATCTAGCGTAATCCTGTCGTAATCTCTTAAAGCCAATAGCCTCGCGTGGCTATACGCAGGGTGATTCTATATTCTAGAAGGGTCTATTCCTTTAGATAGGATAAACCTGGTTACTTGATGTACTCCGGAAGTATAAAAGCTCCTTGTACTGATCGATAGTGCAACCTTTCCTCGACACATTCGATCCTGTGACAGAGAGCCTCCTGTGTTCAAGGCGTGCTACGTGGCTAGAGGCTTCAGTCAGTGTGAGGGGGTGGACTTTTTTCAGACCTTCGCCTCGATCCCGAAGATGACTACTCTTCGGGCACTGCTACACGTAGCAGCACAGCGTGACTACAAGTTACACTCCCTCGACTTCTCCACTGCGTTTCTTCAGGGAAGTCTACACAAGCAGGTCTACCTGCACCGCCCTTAGGGCTTCACTGGTACCTTCCCTTCTGGGACCTAGTGGCTCTTGCAGCGTCCAGTCTACGGCTTGCGGCAGGCGCCCCGGGAGTAGCACGACACGCTGCGTGCTACCCTTGCAGACCTGCAGTTCTTTCTGTCCTCTGCAGACCCCTCGCTCTTCGTTTGTTCAGGCCAGACTCCGTTCTACATCCTTGTTTGCGTAGACAACCTGGTCTTTGCCACTACAGACACTGCCACGCTGGCCTTCGTGAAGGCTAAGCTACTGATGTGAGAGTACGACCCCGTTACACCACTGGTCCCTTTCCCTATTTCCTTTTCCTTCCATTTCTCTTTTTATCGCATCTCATTTGGTTTCCTATTCTCCATTTTCCATTAACCTTTGGTTTATCCTGCTATTATAATTATATCACCGACCAGGCTTGGGATGTACTGGTGCGCTATATCTAGCGTAATCCTGCCGTAACCCCTTAAAGCCAATGGCCTCGCGTGGCTATACGCAGTGTGATTCTATCTTCTAGAAGGGTCTATTCCCCTAGGATAAGATAAACCTGGTTACCTGATATGCTCTGGAAGTATATAAGCGCCTTGTACTGATCGATAGTGCAATCTTTCCTCGAGTCATTCAATCCTGTGACACTTGGTAATCAGAGCTTTTCTCACTCGGCTGCGCTCAACAAAGCAGCAGCAGCGGGAAAACCTGCCTCGAAAAACCGCCGGGGGCGACCAATTCGACGCCGATTCTGGTAAGCACCAGCTCCGCATTTTTTCGAATCACCCCCCCCGCGCGTGTTTTGAACAGGATGGCAACCATCGACAACGCCGAGGTTACCCAGCAGCTCTTCGCGCGCATCGCAGCCCTTCAGGAGGAGATGCGAGCGGATCGCGAAGCGTGGCGAAACGAGTTCGAGCGAGTAACTCGACTCGCCGGAGTGCAGCATGACTCGACAACGGCAACGACGCAGCAATCGCAGCAGTTTTTCGAGGCTCCGAAACCACGCCCACCTGAGCTGTTCGACCCAAGCGATCAAAACTCCGATGCCTGCATATGGATCACCGGGATGGAGATCTACTTTGCAGCCGTCGGATGGAGCTCGCCAGTCTGGGACGGTCAACGGGTACAACTTGCGGCGACACTGATGCGAGGGCCAGCACTCGAGTGGATTGGCTGCAACAGCACCTTCATCCACGGAGAAGCCACGTGGCAGCAGTTCCGCACCGACCTGCTGAAATATTTCGAGCCGATAAATTCCGGTTTCCTTGCCCGGGAAAAAAATCATCGACATCGACAGTTCGGGAGTGTAGCACAGTACACGCAACAGATGGAGGAACTTTATAACCGAATTCCCGACCTGACCGAAGGGGAAAAAGTACAGTCGTACCTCGCCGGACTGAAGACGGAAGTCAAACGACAAGTGGCAGCGTCAAACTACGAGAGCTACAGTGACGTCGTTTTGGCAGCAGAACGCTTCGACATGGTCAACGCCGGGACACGACGGACGCACGTTGGCAGTACGCGACAAGGCGACCGCTCGGCTCACCCCACGTTCGCCTACCCGATGGAAGTGGATAGGTTCGAGAGGCGGCCACGTCTGAAAAACACCAACTACACGTGTGATTTTGCAGGGTGCCGGGACATCGAATCTTCGACTGCAACAAAATGAAAGCTGCACGCGCAGAGTATCGGGCACGCAACAGTGGTAGAAATCTTTCGGCCAATCAGAAGACAAAAAACGGGAGTCGCTAGTGATTGCGGATCTAGCTGGCGAAAAAAAAAAAAGATCCGGAAGCGGCGGTGGGATTCCGGGAAAATCAACTTTGACGAAGCTGATTCGACGCAAGGAGGAAATGATGGGGGAAAATCTCCACCCCACGACCAGTCTTCGCCAGGGAAAATCGCCGAGGAAAAATATGACTCCGCGAAAAAGGACTCTGCCGAGACGGTGAAACTCCTTGAAGACCCAAGAAATTATAAGGATTCGTTAAAGTTATCTTATAAAGATGCTTTAATGAAAATTTATGATTTTCGAGGGGCTAGAGCCTTGGAGAAATTTTGGGAGGGACTCCAAAAGAAGCAGATAGCTGTGGAGATCTTGGGGAAAAAATAAAGGAGTGTGGAAAGAAACCGACCTTTCCACGGAGTCAACGTCCTCTCCCGACACCAGCCCACAACGACTACCCGTTCCCCAGGGAAGACGTCGGTGGAGCTGAAGCAACTCAAGAGGAAGCTGGGGGTCTATAAGAAGCTGCACAAACCCCGAACTCCTCTTCCGGATGCATCCAGTTCTTCGACATCAGTGACGCGCACAGTCGTCAAGGAAACTCCGAGCCTTGGAGAAGAACCGTTCTCCAAGCAGCCTCGGCCAGCTTCCAGCTCAGGCGTAGATAGCAACACAAAGGTGTGTACGGAATTTTGGGATGTACCATATGACCCAATCAATGAAACTATCTTTGGGTACTCCGAGCAACGCCTGCCCCTCGTGCTCGAGGTCATCTGCAAAGGACGACGCCTCCAAGCACTCGTGGACAGCGGAGCATCACACACCGTCTGCGACAAGGAACTAATCGACCGACTTCAGGAAGAGTACAAGCCTTCTGGATTCTCTGCAACGATGGTGGACGGCAGCAAGCTACCAGTACACGGCGAAGCAGTGCTACACCTACAAATTGGACCACTGCGCTGGAGACATGCACTCCCCATCACCAACATCAAAGGGCTTGACTTGATCTTCGGGCGAGACTTCCTAAAAAGATTCAACCCCGAGATCAACTGGGTGAACCGCACCGCAAGCATCTACAACAATGGATGGAGAGTACAGCTACCCAACTGGGACGATACAGGAGAAATCCCAGAGGAGACACTCGCATGATTCAAGAAGGACGTGAAGCGAACCGACACCGGTTTCTTGGCGATAGCAACAGAGGCGGAGAACGACAGGGAAAAAACCTCGGAACCTCCGGGAAAGATCAAGGAATTATTGAAGGAGTTCCAAGACATTCTTCCAGACGATCTTCCGAACGAGCTGCCGCCATACCGAACACACCAACATGAGATCGTGGAGGAACCGGGTTCGAAACCGACCTTCCGAGCACCATATCGGCTCAGCCCTAGGGAGCTAACCGACATGAAGAAGCAAATTGAGTATCTCCTAGCCAAAGGACTCATCCGGCCATCTACTTCGCCATACGGTGCCCCACTACTCTTCACCCCGAAACCGGACGGAAGCCTACGCATGTGCATCGACTACCGAGCTCTTAACAAGCAGACCATCAAAAACAAATATCCGATACCACGAATCGATGACCTGCTTGACCAGCTTCGGGGAGCTACGGTATTTTCCAAGCTGGATCTGCGGTCCGAATACTGGCAGATACGAATGGCGGACAACTCTATCCACAAAACTGCTTTCTGAACTCAGTACGGATCGTTAGAGCATTTGGTAATGCTGTTCGGACTCACCAACGCACCGGCAACGTTCCAAGCCGAAATGAACCACATTCTACGACCACTTTTGGACGAGTGCATGGTGGTATACCTGGACGACATACTCATCTACTCGTGCGACATGAAGCAGCACGTCGAATACCTGCTACGCGTCTTCAAAATTCTTCGACGAGAACGATTCTACGTGAAACTGTCCAAGAGCGAATTCCCCCTTGATAAGGTCTAGTTCCTAGGACACATGGTGAGCGCTCAAGGAGTTCGCGTCGACCCCAAGAAAATCGAAGCCGTACGTACGTGAAAGACACCCAAGAACGTGAAGGAGTTGCAGCAGTTCCTAGGCTTCGCTAATTATTACAACTGGTTCGTGCCACAGTATGCGAAACTCGCAGCACCACTCACGAATCAGCTGAAGAAGAACACGCCCTACGAATGGGAATCGAAGCACCAGGAAGCCGTGGAGCAGCTGAAGCAAGCACTTACGTCCGCACCCGTACTCATTTTGCCAGACCCCGAACGCGACTACGTCATCGAAGCTGACGCCAGTGACCAGGCAGTGGGAGCAGTCTTGATGCAAGACCAAGGGAATGGATTGCAACCAATCGCCTACCTCAACAAGAAACTACACAAGACATAACTCAACTACCCGATACACGACAAGGAGGCCCTGGCTATCATCATCGCCTTCAAAGCGTGGAGATGTTATCTCGAAGGACGAAGAACAACCGTCTACACCGACCACTGCAGCCTGAAATACTTAAAGACACAACCCAACCTTTCCAGGCGGCAGGTCCGGTGGATCGACTTCCTTGAGACACACTTCCGCTACGACATCGTGTACAAGCCCGGTCACAAAAACAAAGCAGACGCTCTCAGCCGGCCTGCACACGTTGCCGCTATTCTGGTCGAAGGGATGAATCCACTACTCAAGGGAATCTTCACACACGGGTACGCCACCGACCCCAAAATTCCCTTGGCAGAGAAACGATATCTGCTACATTGGGATAGTGACATCGCGTACTGGAAACGATGAACGAAAATCTGGGTACCCAATTACCCTCCTTTGCGCCAGTTACTACTCGAAGAATACCACAACGTCCTATACGCCGGACACTTCGGTAGCAACAAAACGCTGACCGGTATTGCAAAACACTACTACTGGCCCCACTTGGCAGAGGCTGCTCAGAAATTTGTCACCTCGTGTGATACATGTCAGCGGATGAAGAGCAGCAAACAGAAAAAGGCGGGACTACTGCAGCCTCTTCTTGTCCCAGAACAGCCATGGCAAGTGGTTAGCCTGGAATTCATCACCGGGTTACCACCTACCACCAGCGATCATGACGCAATCCTTGTCGTCATCGACAAATTCTCCAAAAGTGAACACTTCATCCCGACACACACGACAGCACGCACCGAGGAGACAGCACAACTATTCGTTCGTTACATCATCTCACAGCATGGCATTCCAACCACACTTATCTCTGACCATGACTCCAAGTTCACCAGCAAGTTCTGGAAGGAACTCCTGTCTCTACTCGGGACCAAACTCGCCATGTCATCTGCCTACCATCCACAGATAGACGGACAGACCAAGCGCCTCAACCAAATTGTTGAGAAACTCCTTCGAGCAGCCTGCAAGGACGAGATTTCCAAATGGGACTTGCACCTGCCCGTTCTAGAGTTTGCTTACAACAACGCTACACATGCCGCTACTGGACAGATGCCGTTCTTCCTCTGCTACGGAGGCCACCCACTCACACCACAAAACCGACAGCATCAGCTACAGTCCAACCTGCGCATGATTTCATCACAACCATGCATCAGCTTTGGGATCGGACCCACAAGCGCCTCCTCGACATTCAGCAGCAACAGAAGTGCCAGGCCAATCGCCATCGCAACGACCACACCATCACTGTGGGAGACCAGGTGCTCCTTGACACCCGCAACCTTGACATCAGCCATCTCCTATCCAATGTGCCACCTCGTTTCTGTGGGCCTTTTCTCGTTGAAGTACAGGTTACTCCTGTTACCTTCTGCTTACGCCTGCCAGCTACCTGGAAGATTCACAACGCCTTCCATGTCCAACTTCTGAAGCCCTATTGGGATCCAAACACGATCTTCGTCGGGCGCCAACCGCCGCCGCCACCGCCCGTCCTCGTCCAGAATGAACCCGAGTACGAGGTCGAGTCCGTGCTTGCCCACCGCCGTCGTCGGAATGGCACCGTGGAGCTTCTCATCCGTTGGAAGGGTTATGATCCTTTTGAAGATAGCTGGGTACCTGAGTCCGACATGGGTAACACTCGTCGTCCTCTGCATGACTACCTTGTCAAGCAGGGTGTTATTTCTACCACCCAGATTTGAGGGGGGGAAGTGTGAGAGTACGACCCCGTTACACCACTGGTCCTTTTCCCTATTTCCTTTTCCTTCCATTTCTCTTTTTATCGCATCTCATTTGGTTTCCTATTCTCCATTTTCCATTAATCTTTTGTTTATTCTGCTATTATAATTATATCACCGACCAGGCCTGGAATGTACTGGTGCGCTCTATCTAGCGTAATCCTGCCGTAATCCCTTAAAGCCAATGGCCTCGCGTGGCTATACACAGTGTGATTCTATCTTCTAGAAGGGTCTTCTAGAAGGGTCTATTACCTGATGTACTTTGGAAGTATAAAAGCGCCTTGTACTGATCGATAGTGCAATCTTTCCACGAGTCATTCGATCCTGTGACAATTGAGGAGACACACCTGTACTGACCTAGGAGTACTGCATCGCTACCTTGGCCTGCATATCTTTAGAGATAGAGCAGCGCGCACCATGACCCTCACCCAGTCACACTTGGTGCTCCAGGTCCTTCAGAGGTTCGGTCTTTAGCTCTCCTCCGCACAGCCCACACCTCTTCCAGTAGATCACAGGCTCTCTGCTCCCGTTCTTGAGTTAGCAGAGCCTAGTGGTCCTTACGCAGAGCTGGTGGGTTGCCTCATGTACCTGATGACTTGCACTCGTCCCGATCTCGCATATCCTCTCAGCATCCTAGCCCGCTTTGTGGCCACAGGCAGACACCGACCTCAGCACAAGTCTGGCGCTAAGAGGGTTTTGCGTTATCTCGCTAGTACATCGGGCATGGGGTTAGTGCTGAGAGGACGCAGGCCAGTGGTCCTTACTGGGCACACAAACGCTTCTTGGGCAGACGTCGCCGAGACCCTCAGGTCCTCACACGGATACTGCTTTAGCCTTGGTTCAGGCGTCGTCTCGTGGAGAGCTACTCGCTCCTCGTGTATTGCTTAGTCCAGCTGTGAGGCCGAGATCTACGCCGATGCAATGGCGGCACATGAGCTCCTCTGGCTGACTTTCTTGATCACCGACTTAGGTGAGCGGCCTAGCTCTGCCCCGGTCGTGTACGCTGACAACAGTGCCATGATCCTCCTGTATCAGGAGCCTCGATTTGAGGGCAGAGCGAAGCACATCCAGCTGCGGTACTTCCTTCTGCGCGAGCTGCAGCAGCGTCGCCAGGCTCGCGTAGTACACTTGGCCTCCGGTGCCAACACAGCTGATATCTTTACGAAGGTGCTTGCGCCTAAAGATCATCAGCGGCACGGTGTGCAGCTTGGTCTTGTTCCTGTAGCCTCTCATTTGCTAGGGCCTTGATTGTGTACAGACCCTTATATATATATATCACCCAGAGAGGCCCTGTGGCTTCTTCCCAGTGGCCGGACTAGTAGTGCCGCCTTGGTCTTGCTCTTGTCTTGTCTGTACTCCTTTTGACTGGTCTTTAGACCCGTGCTTCAGAGGCTGGACTAGTAGTGCCACCCTGAGCTGCTTGTTCGCTTGTTAGGCATTGCCTCTATATAGTCTAGGGGGTGTGTCAAACAAAATTTAGTTTGTTACTGTAGACTATAAAGGTTTGTGCCTTAGAGGGTACAACACATTAGTCTATATTGCCTTGTACCCTCACATTCTAGTCACTCATTTGTTTCTAAGAAATTATTCCGGTAAGCCTGTCTTTAAGTCTCGCCAATCTTTAATTCGTCGGACTAATTTCACAACAATGTCTAAGCTGACGTGCAGAGATTTATAGCCAACCTCGAGGCACCCCTCATAAGCGTCATGTTGAAATTCTAGTTGTTTGGAATTAGGGTTGAGCAAACTACCCGCCCGGGTCGGGTACCCGGTACCCGGATCCGCTTTTAGGGCGGGTCGGGTATCGGAAATTCTGAAAATTACCCGGCGGGTCGGGTCCGGGTTACCCGGGCCGGGTATCAATACCCGCTACCCGAAATGCTACCCGACGTGTCGGGTAATGGGTACCCGACGTGTCGGGTAATGGGTACCCGACCCGGTCGGGTAAAAAATTACCCGAGGTCGGGTAAAAAATTACCCGAGGTCGGGTATTCCACCTAGACATGGGCGTAAGTCGCGCTGTGTTCTAGGTTTTGCGGCAAAAACGGTTTTGGAGGTGAGGGGGGACGAGTGGAGCATTTGTGAGGAGAAGTTGGAGTTTGTAGATGGGTAGGAGTTCAGTGCGGTGAAAGGGAGGGAGTTTTGTTGGAAATGTTGGAGTTTGTAGACAGGGAGGAGTTCAGTGCGGTGAAAGGGAGGGAGTTTGGCTGGAAATTGGAGTTTGTAGACGGGGAGGAGTTCAGTGCGGTGAAAGGGAGGGAGTTGGGTGGGAGTTGGAGAAGAGGTTGGAGTTTGTAGATGGGTAGGAGTTCAGTGCGGTGAAAGGGAGGGAGTTCTGTTGGAAATGTTGGAGTTCGTAGACAGGGAGGAGTTCAGTGCGGTGAAAGGGAGGGAGTTTGGTTGGAAATTGGAGTTTGTAGAGGGGGAGGAGTACAGTGCGGTGAAAGGGAGGGAGTTGGGTGGTCAAAATTCGACCCCCATGAAACGCGACTCTCATTTGAGAGTCGCATTTTCAGGAACCCTACCTAGCCTAGCCCAACTTTAGGATGTCCACTAGTAGGTGGCGGGTAGTATTACCCGCTTTTCAAGGTCACCGGGTCAGGTATACCCGGACCCGCCAGGCGGGTATTGTATTACCCGCCCCTTAAGGCCGGGTCCGGGTAAGGGTCCTGGGCATATTACCCGACCCGGATCCGACCCGAAATTACCCGACCCGAGGTCGGGTATTGCAAAACCGGGTCGGGTCGGGTAATTACCCGGTTTTGCTCAAGCCTATTTGAAATTGAATAAATGGTATAACCTGAAGCGCATGAATTAATTACCAAGGCAGCGCTACTTTCCCATAGTACCGTATTCCCCCAGATAATGGACCCGCCGGTAAGAAAGTCCATGGGTCCTTTACCCGGGGGTGGGATCGTTTATTTTGGCAGACCTCGTGAGGACCCGCTTTTTGGCATTTAACATTTCAAGACCCCCCAGCTTTGATTTCGTATTAGTTTTTGCACTGTACGTTTTACGGAGATAAAGCGGTACATGAAATCAGGGATGGCAGATTCACTGTAACTGGGCCTTCGTTCTTGCAGTAGGGGTGAAGGCAGTCAAAATGCCATCGCGTCACGTCAGCACGTATAAATTTGCAGCCGTCACTGCTGGAAATTTGACGCGTGTCATTCAGGTGGCACGGAAAGATGGGTATGTTCCCTATGTAGAAAGGTTGTACATCCAGAACAATAGACTCTCAAGTGTAAAATACGTGTATATGGGTCCTAATAATTTACGTCTGCGTTAATGTCCACCTAGACATTTTTATATGTAATTCTAAGAAGACCATAGGATCCAATAGCCGGGGAATTACGATAAGCATTGTCATTACTGTTGGTACTTTCGACATTGGGCTTACTTTGTGATGACTTCTTACTTGACATGCAGGAATAACAAGTCCGCGTCAAGAAATTACGTCGTCGGCAACGTGGTTGGTGAGCCGCCGCTCTGTTTCTGTTCGTGGTTGATTGTGCGACACGGATCGGCATGCTGCATACGTTATTAGGTTATCGGAGGCTTGCCTATTTTTTTGTAATTAGGTTGGTTGGTAACCACTATAGTAGGAATTGTGTATATTGTTTGTAATGGTGGTACATCAATTTTTATGAATAATATCATTTGATACATTAATGGTCAACAGAACAGAAAGAATGGATGGCAAGATTGGAAAATCATTTTTATACAAATCCAAAGCAGCATCAAAATATTTATCGCAAATGCATTCGACAAAACAATATATTGCATTCAAGACAACACCGCCCATTGTTTCCAAATGCTCGCGCAAAGTGTTTCGGCAAATGTTGTCCAAGCATTCGCAAAGTGTTCGAATCTAAATCCGCACAGTATTTACACCCACTTGTTCGCAAAATGCTTGCAAAGCATCCGTTCCGTACAGATACTTCGCGAACGTTTTGCGGAGCACACCTTTTTTGCGATGAACTAAGTGGATATGGGCGGAAAAGAGAGGATAGGGGCAGGAACTAAGTGGATACGGCTGGAAAAGAGAGGATATGGGCAGGAACTGAGAGTATATGGGCAGAAAACAGAGGATAAGGGTAGGAACTGAGTGGATATGGGCGGAAACGATAGGATAGGGGCAGGAAATAACTGGATATGGGCAGAAAATAGAGGACATGGGAAGGAACTGAGAGGATAAGGCCAGAACAGAGAGGATAGGGGCAGAAAATGAGAGGATATGGGCGGAAAAAATAGGATATGCGCAGGAACTGACTGGATATGGGCGGGACAGGCCATGCAGTCTCACATTTGTGCCAATCGGTCAACGTCCGCCAGGCTTTCGTCGGTGTGGTAGCGGGGGCGGAACATGGCTTTGTACCAATGCAAGAATTACTTGATGGCATTCAGATGAACGTCGTCGACGAGCCCTTCCAGGATGAAGATTGCCACTTGCATGACGGCGCGGTGTTCAGATGCGGAGACCTTAGCGCCGGACTGGAAGTAAGTGCCTGGAACTGGCAGTTCAAACCAGCTATGCGCCCATGATTCCATAGCCATTTGAGCGGCCTGGTGGAGGGTTGGGGGTGCGGGCGTTAGAGGGAATAGGGGACAAATTGTCGGGTTTTGCAGCATCAGTGTTGGAAGGGAAGGGAGGGTTCAGTCAACAGAATCAAGACAGAACATGGGAAAGGTGAGGTTTCTGCGAGAGCAATCTGGCATGGCGGAGAGATAGGCCTGCACTCACTCGTCCAGCTTGCCATTCTTTGCATTGTCTAAAGTGGCGAGCACATCACGAATGTTTGGCCACACGCCAACGTCAATTTGGTGCTGCACGTCGGGCATGAGCGCAAGGTACGTGTTTCCCCACTCAGTGTCGGCATATTTGAAATCCCCAAGGAATGTCTGAAAGGGAGAAGAAACGAAAACAGGAAACACATGTCATTACTGTAGGCCAGCAGTACCACATAGATGGCACGAGCACGTTACGCATACCTTGTATGAAAATGTCAACCACAGAGATGCGAAATTCTTAGCCATGGACTTGCCAGCCTGTACAGCATGTTGTTCTTGTTCCTTACAAACTGCTGCTCTCTTGGATTCGGGAAACGAAACCTGTGCACCAGGCGCATAGAAGGATGGAGAACATGAGCGATGACAACAGCCAAGCTCTGGCCATTTTTCGACCGACCGTGACTGCCGAGCAGAAACTAGAATGCGTGGCAATTTAAAGAGCCACGTGTGCCGTGAGCAGGGACCGACAAGGGTCGCGCGGAAAGCTATCTAGGCATCTACGTATGACCGTGAGTAAAGAACAGGGGGGAGGGGGGCGGGGGGATTCGATCGGCAGTACTACGAGGGCAGCGGGCAAGGGTAGTTCTTATCGAGCGCGCAAGGTCGGTGGTTACGCAATATGCGGAAAACCAAGGGTGAGTGGTGGAGGAGGACTTAGCGGGTCGACAAGGACTCCAGATCCGTGGGGTTTGAACTTCGGAGTTTGAATTTGAGAATCCTGTAGTTACATTTCTGTAACAGCCTTTTATAAAAATGCCAAATAGCTGCAAATTACACATAGGTGGGCTAAGACACAAGGTCTCTAATGGAACCCCTGCAAAGGGGACTTACTTTGCAATGCCCATGATTTAGATGGATAATAGGCATACCAAACAGTTGTTCATCCACACATCAAAGGCCTGGCCACACGTGGCATTTAAGGCATCGCCCAAACTTATCATCACATGGCGATATTTTTGGAAATTCCCAGATGTTCTATGCTAGGGAATGTCAACTTATACATATGTTAGTATGTAGAAGTTATAGACTAGATAGGGGTATGTTCATAGAGGGAACAATTCAATTCCTATATTTTCCTTCTTCACCCTTGATCCTAGTTCATTCTTGTATTCTAACATAGTATCATAGTAGGTTAGGTCCGCCCACCCGCTTTCGCCCCTCGCCTAGCCTACCGCCCCATCGTAGCCTAGCCTACCGTGCCCCGCCGGCCCCTAGCGCACTAGCCTGCCCCTAGCGCACCTCGCTGCCCCTAGCGTGCTAGCCGGCCCCTTAGCGCACCGTCGGCCCCTCGCGCCCAACCGGCCCGTAGCGCGCTGTGCCGGCCCCTCGCACCATGCCAGCCTTGCGTGCCTAGCCGACCCCTTGTGCCTAGCCGGCCCCTCTAGCCTAGCCGGCCCCGAGCGCCTAGCTGGCCCCGAGCGCCTAGCCGGCCCCGAGCGCCTAGCCGGCCCCTCGCCCAGCCGGCCCCCGCGCCTAGTTGGCTCGTCCTAGGTCTCGTCCTTGGTCTCCCTGAGCTGCTTTCGGCCCTCCCTCCCTCACCTGCACCGCCATGCACACCCTGCGTCGAGGGCTGGCTGCACCGTGCTCCTCACTCCTCCTCACCCCGTCCTGCCACCGCACCGCTCCAGACCCTGCACCTGGACGTCTGGGTCCCAGCCCCTGTCCCTGGACTGCGACGCGAGTGCTACTTTCTAGTGCTCGCTAACGACTACACGCGTGCCCTGTTCCTCATCTCCCCCTCCCCTGCCAGGGCGTGCCTTGGTGCCCTGTTCCTTATCTCCCACTCCCCTTCTTGTCTCAGTGGTGAGGACTGGTGACTATATGACAACAATGTCATGTACACTGAGTTTCTCCCGTTTTTAAGCTATCTCCCAGTTCCGTTCGAGATGCCTGCCCCCACTTGACAAAAAATCCCATTGCAACACACGACACCTTAAAAAAAAATTGGATCGGAAAACCCTGGGAGGGGAGAAACAATGCCATTTACATCGTGTTCCACTCTAATTCTCCAGTTTTAATGCTGAAAGCCAAGATGCGTATCTGCCAGTTCCTTCAGAGTTGTATGCCCCCACTTGGCATGCACCCCTATTGCAAAAAGAAAAGGATTGGAAAAGCCATGGGAGGGGAGAAACAATGCCATTTACACCGAGTTCCACTCTCATTCTCATGTTATAAGGATGCACGCCAGAGTGCGTATCTGCCAGTTCCTTTAGAGATGCATGGCCCCACTTGGTATGCACCCCTATTGCAACATATGACACTTTCCAGGAAAAAAAAAACGGAATGGAAAAGCGCCGGGAGGTGAGAAACAGTGCCATTTTCAATAGGTTTCGTACTCATTCTCCTGTTTTAATGCTGCATGCCAGAGTGCGTATCTGCCAGTTCCTTCAGAGATGCATGCCCCCACTTGGCATGCATCCCCATTGCAATATGTGACACCTTCCAGACAAAAAAATGGACTGGAAAAGCGCCAGGAGGTGAGAGACGGTGCCAATTTCAATAGGTTTCGTACTCATTCACCTGTTTTAATGCTGCACGCCAGAGTGCGTATCTGCCAGTTCCTTCAGAGATGCATGCCCCCACTTGGCATGCACCCCCATTGCAATATGTGACACCTTCCAGACAAAAAAAAAGGGACTGGAAAAGCGCCAGGAGGTGAGAAACAGTGCCATTTTCAATAGGTGTCGTACTCATTCTCCTATTTTAATGTTGCACGCCAAGTGTGCGTATCTGGCAGTTCCTTCAGAGATGCATGCCCCCACTTGGCATGCACCCCCATTGCAACATATGACACCTTTCGGACAAAAAAAAACCGGAATGGAAAAGCCCTGGGAGGGGAGAAACAATGCCATTTACACTGAGTTCCACTCTCATTCTCACGTTATAAGGCTGCATGCCAGAGTGCGTATCTGCCAGTTCCTTCAGAGATGCATGCCTCTACTTGGCAGGCACAGTCAATGCACCACAGCAAACGTTCACCAAAAAAAAAAAACAAAAAAAAAAACAGTTTGAAAGAGGCAATGCATGGAACAAGGCATTGCATTCTCGCACTTTTCCATTCCTTCCCCTCTCGTTTGCCTCTGCTCGTTGCTTTTCCTGTGATTTATCAGCCTTTGAGGCTTCCCCTTAATATACATGCACTGTTTTGGACAATAGAAGCTTGTTGAAAATATACACGGCACTTTGTTCTGGAAAATG